AATCTTCCGAAACGATTCTTTACCGATTAGACATCATGAAGTGCTCCATCATGTTTTTGTTGCTACCGTGTAATATTGAGACAAGTTATTATATTGTTGAAATTAATTGTTAATAAAATTAACATATTTAAATTATGCATTGTTTCAGTCATTAAATATACTTAATACGTACCAATTCTATTTGTAATTATATTTCAGTAACAATAGTTTTAATCTAAGAAGTCTCATGTAAATTATAATATTATTTAAGTATCTGAAGTTGTAGAATAACTTTCATCAAAAACATGTACTGCAAAATGAATTATATAGAGTTTAATAAGTAAAAGTGAAGTCTAAATGAATGTGCAACATAATAAAATTGTGACACAATTAAACTCGTATACTAATACTACTTTACAAATAACCTAACAAATTCATTCAGATTTTTATGATCCTCAAAGAGGTATAACCAGATATTATCGATTTTGAACTATTGGAAGATTAATATTTACGCAGAAAAGAAAGCTGGAGTAAATTCTTGGACATTGGGGAGTGATTATTTACGTAGAAATGAAAGCTGGAGTTAAATTCTTGAACATTTGGGAGTGATTATTTATAATAAATTAAAATTTAATGATTACATAGAGTACATAGTTTAAACATTTGGACAAATTAATATTTTAAACAGAATTTAATTATATGCAAATTATTTATTAATAATTATACCCCATTTTACTTACTGTGTAAAAATATTAATTTTAATATCGAAATTTAAGAAACTACAGGTGTAACAACATTGAGCTATGAAGGAAATAATTAACTCTAATAGATACACTTAAGTATTAAACTTGTTCGAAGCTCTGAAATTTCTGTCAATAAAAATAATTAGTTACAAGACGCGAATTGTTATGCGAGTTTTATTAAACATCAGATAACAGGGAATTAAGTGAACAAAATCCAAAGATTAATGAACTATAATCGGTCAATAACTCGAACCGTTTTTAAAATATTCTAGATTAGCGTTTTTATTGACTATTCTTGTATTTGGGGATATTATATTACCGAACAAAGCAATCGTAGAATGAAGCTTGAACGATTTATTTAAATCTCTAGGTACGTAAAGTATAAAACTATTTTTATTAATCAAATGCAAGGAAGTATAATTGTGCTATTTAAAATACCTGATAAGTGTGTCGTGACAGTTTTAATTTAAATTTAGATTATACCAGTGTATAAGTATCTCATTTTAATACTTTATATTTCCTTTTTGACGAGAAGCAATTTTCATCATACAGTATTAAATGTTGATCCTTTAATATTAATTACATTCGGGTAAATTAATTATTTTATATTAGGATGAAGTCGTTCACGCTGGGAACGGACTAAAAATTACTCTGATCATTTTAAGTTTTAACATTCAGTGATGGTTCATAACTAAGTCATAGAAGCCATAAGAAATACGTTTGTTTTAAATCGAAATATAGTTCTGCTAAATTTGTAAAATTGCTACAATGGTAATATCCCCTAGACAACAGAATTCCTAACAATCTGAATTTAAAATGGCATATCTTCTTTTGTAAACCGAAATTAATGTTTTGTTTTCCTTGACTCTGATTTTTTACGATAGAATGACTTCATGTAGTACACACTTTGAATTAGTAAATGAAACGATCCAGAATTCCGAGCGCAAAAGTTCAAAGAATCATTAATTTTAATTACTTTATGTATGTGTTTAAAAACAGTTCTATGAATACAAATCTTTTGTCTGTCCATTTTTCAATTAATTCGCTAATAGTACTCTTTGTAATGTGAATAAAAAATAAAATGAAACAAAAAGTAACTTTGAGAATATAAAAGATTCGAATTATAGGAAGTAATGTATGCAGTACATTGTTCCTTCAGTGTGATCATTGAAAGATAAATATTATAAGGAATATAATCCTTGTATTCTGTAGCCTCATTGATAGCCATTTTTCATTCAATTCACGTATTAAATGAAAAGACCGCATACATATTCATTAGAGTGAGATTACAATGTTTGATTTTGAAGTATTACTTTAAAAATTGTATGAATCTCTCGTGTACTGTTGAAGCGGTAACATGACCGTCCTACTCCCACATCTTTGTCTGCCACCGGGTTATGCCATTTGCAGTTCAAATAAATTTATCTTTATCTTTTATCTTATCTTTGGCAAGACAATCATCTCAAATATCTAGTAAAGGACTCAAGCCATATTTTGGCATTATCACATGAAAATATCAAATAACTTCACTGAGTTTCACGATTAAGAAGCAGTCTAATTCAATATTTTTCATATTAGTATTTTATCAAGACCAGCACAAAAGAACAATACAAAATTTTCCCTTCTATAAAGTAATGTTGGGTAAAATGTGAAACGAGTAAATAACTTATGTAACTAAGTATTCTGTAGTAGCATCAACTTAATGATTTAGTTTATTTGGTTTACAATTGGCAAGAATGATAATGAAACAAATAGTTCATCACACTGCAAAAACAGATCGGCTTAGACCAGCCATTTTACTCCCGAGAGGGAAGTACGCTCTTGTATAATACGGAAACTTTCGAGGAGGCAAGAAATTCGTTCTCGAGTGGGTAACGTTGCATGACTCCGAGGCAAATTAAGTTTTTACCCGCTCACAACGAGAGAAATTAGTTTCAGTCGATCGACTGCACTGCAATTTCTAGCTCCCGAAACGCGGCACGCAGATTCGGCCTGAGGACGCTCGGAAAGAGTAGCTGAATACAACTCCAATGACATCGTGGGAGACGGCGCAACGGGCGCTAATTATTTGACTATTACACTTTGGTAATTAGACAATTTTCTGTCTGGATTTCAGTGTGCATTACCTGAAATATGCTTGCAGTACCGTGTCTGTTTGCCAACGAAGAAATGTGAGAGAATGTTTGAAAAACTGTTAATTTAATTAGATATTCTTTTTATTTCTAGGGTGGATATTTCATTGTGATACGAGACTATCTTACGAATTTAGAATGCAATCCATTACCTTAACATAAAATATCATGATTTATTACAGTGAGATGGAGAACGAAAGAAAATATAAAAGGATTGTTCTGTACCTTTTGTCATAAATGCGTCGTTATTTAATTAATAATAGCAAATTTATTGTGTGGAATTGGTTATTAGAGTTTATAAAATAGGTACAATTAATCTTGCTTCATTACAAGAGTTAATCATGTTGTTTATTGAAAAAAAAATTATAATATGAAGATATCTTTGATAACAAAATATAAAAATAATAAATTACTGCCACATTATAAATAAGTATATGAATAATTAAATACTACCAGATATCACTTTTAATTCCAAACATTTAGTTGAGACTAAAAGAGACATTATAGTTAAATTTCTGAAGCTAATAATTTGGACCAAAATTAGAACAGCAATTAAAAATGTTTCCTCCCAGCATGATACTCAGAAAAGCATACGTAACAGTGAGAGCCTGCAACTTGTAATTAAATCTCCACGTTGTACGTCAGTGAGTCGGAAGCATCGCTGCAGGCGAGACAATTTTTCCCGGAGAAACCATTCTCGGATTTTGTGTATTATTCACGAATTTCATAAATATTTCTGTAGGCGCATCCTCGCTTACCCAGCTTACGCCTTCCCTGCCACGCGCCCGCCCCGCTCTTCCCGTGCTCCACCCCGCTTACTCCCCGCACTTTCCCGTCACGCCGAAGTTGCCGACCGCGCCGTGTAGACCCGTTCGGCCGCGGCTGTACGCTCGCCGGGGATGCCCCTCAGGCCAGCCAACCCTCACAAAACAAACGTCTCACCGGCTCCCGTGGGACGTACATTGTGAGCTCGTCGGGTGACTCCGCGCCGTGCAGGCCTGTTGATCCTCGGGGGTGGAGAGCAGGGCATGCGGGGGAAGGCATGCAGGCAACTGCGGAGGCAGGAAGGGGGAACGGAGGGGTGGTGGAGTGAAGGGTAAGGGGGAAGGCGAGCAGCGAGGGGAGGGAAGGGAATGGCGGGGAATTGAGGGGTGGGCAAGAGGGGGAAGGCGAGCTGGTGGCTGCGGGGAGGGGAGAAAAGGGGAAGGGAAGGGGAGGAAGGCGAGCTGGCAACTGCTGTGGTGGCGAGGGGTGGGGAAGGGAAGAGGAAATGGGAGGGAAATGCAGCGAATGGAGCTAGTCAGGTGAGCAGAGAGAGATCCCATTGGAGATACTGAGCTACTGGAACTAGTTAGGCGGGACACATTCGGAGCGTCAAGTGGTAAGGTTTCTGGTTAAGGGGATAGCAGGATCAAAATAGAATATTACAAACCCGCATCCCAGTTCTCTGAGTGCTACATGCATCGATAATAGTACTGAGATTTTTATTTGTTTTAAAACGTAATTGGTAACCTTTGAAAATGAAATGTTCTGTTGCCAGAGCAGAAAACGTGGGAATTTAAGTGCGGAAATTCGAAGACTGCTGTGCCAAAAATAAGATGTAAGAAAGTAAGTACTTGATGAACATGAAATTTTCTTTTCCGTATTTTTTATCAGCCGCTGATATTTAGTTTTGAGTCCATTTATCTTTTAAAGATGTTTATCATTCTTTCTAGCTTAAATATTCGACTTTCCCTCCTGCGTCAGTCGCAAGTTCATCTTTAGCGAGAACTGTAAAATAATGAAGCAAGCTTACTTCTCAATGGGTAAAAAGTAGGCATTTTTATTAAATAGAGGTAAAATACTAGAATGCTTAATTTTGAATCTACCAAGACTGCTGTTCTTGTCAATGTGAGGCTTTTCTGCAAAATAAATGTGAAAAAATCATTAAAAAATGTTCATTTTCACACTGACACTCAGTGGAAGTAGAGGGCCAACCTAAATCACTAGCAGGGGTGGGCATTTTTTGATTTCATGTCTTTTAACGATCAAATATTCACAAAAATGCACCATAAGGTAGCCTAGTTTCCATTGACAATCAAAATTATAACTAGTCATAAACGTAACCAAATTGTTGTTGTTGCGTAAACAAATTACAATAGGACCAATGATGCCAACTAGTCCAGATCTTATCAACCACATCGAAGATGCCGCACAAAATAAGTCATATTGGTGAGTGAGCTGTGAGTGGTGACAGTAACTGGTAAATTATATTAAGTTATTAAAAAAATCATGTAAATTGCCTGCTCGGAAGACGCCGCTGTTTGGAAATATTTTATTCGTATATACGATTCGGTCTACACACTGTCTTCTTCATAATAAATTCTTCTTGAACATCCCAGTATGGTAGAGCACGTTGGCAACATTAGCTCGAATGCTAGAAGAATATCTCAGAACAAGGGCTGAAACTGCTTTGGATGCTGCGTCTTCAGGATAGCACACTTGGAGAGTCAACTACATTGTTGAATAACTCCGTAAGTGAGATATAAATTATATTGCGGGCAGTGGCGCAATTCCCTTCTTGGTGGAACGTGATATTCGGCGCCGACCTATTCGTCGTTATGCGGGTTTTGTCCTTCAGATACCTCTGTGACGCACCGCCTAAGTTCCGGACTGATGTCATAACACGGGCGGTGCGGTGACATAGTGCCAGGATGTATGTGCGTGTAAGGGGGGGATCGGACAAGGTAGGGAAGGAAATATCGCGCGCGATCTGTGGTCCGTTCGTTAGGGTTCTGCTCCGGCATGCTCCCAGTGTTAATCAGAGACACCACGGAAAACTCGATCAGAGCAGCCGACCGTTAGAATTCTCCTCCAGGCAGCTAGCTGAATAGTCTTAAAATCCTGCCACCGTCGGGGCTCGAACGTAGGAGGCGCTGCAGAGACATCAATCCGTGAAGGCGATGTCTCCAGTGATGAGCGGAGGCGGCTGTTAGACGTCTCCTCCAGACTGGTACAACAGGAGCCAGTGAGGCGGGGCCCGCGCTCCCACCTGCCGCGTGTTTACGGCGAGGGCTTCGCCGGAACGCACTCGCAGCCTGGATCGACCCGGCCGCCGCCTCCGCCGTTGGTGTATTTGATGATGAGCGCGGGCGGGCTGGGCCGAGCGGGGCCGGGCCGGGCCGCGCGCCTTCCCGCAAACGCTCGGCGCAAACACACGCGGCGAACGAGTTCCAATCGGCCAAACGCACCCTGCCCCCCCGTCTCTCTTCGTCCCCCCGTCCCACGCCGTCCCCCGTCGCCCCCGCCATCCCCGCCGCCCCACCACCCCGTCATTGCCCCCATCACCTCCGAACCCTGTAAACCTGTCCTCATTATCGGACCCCGCTGCCATCACCGTCACATCTAATTTTCACATACATAAAACATTCACATAGCACATGGTCTTTTCCGTGAGTTAAATAGTACATATCAAGACTAATCTTCTCTAGGGTACATGACTAATCTGATTAAAAAATAACGACCATTCGTCTACTAAAGAAGACCTTTTTATGCTATGCGCTCTTAGCACAGGGTGGTATGGGAGGAAGTGGATGTGAAGGCCGCGGAAGCCGCGACCAAGGTCTGGGAAGCGGCAACGGTGGTGGTGGGGGCGTTGAAACTGGCAGTGGAAGCGTTGGAGTATCCGCTCGTTGAAGCTGTGGGCGTGTGAGGGTGAGGGTGGGGCTGTGGTCACTAACTTCAGGGAGGTACACAAACATCAGAAGCGCTGAATATGAGGCCTTTGGGAACACGTTTACCTTCCAGCCTTAGAATTGGTGTTTCACCGAAATTGGCTG